AAACAGTAAGAAAAGAGATGACCAATGGCTTAAAGCCAATGAGTATTGAATGAAACATATTCAAACAAATTACAAATTGCCACTAAAGTACAAAAAAGTGCCTCTGAATCAATTTTTAATACATGCCGACATGACTTTATAGTACAGATTCTTGAACAATTAATTCAAGGACTCTTTGGAAGCAGAAGAATCCACCACAATGATATCATGGGTTATATGTTTTGCTTTCACCAATGAAGTAAAATCATATCAAGTGAAGATTTATTGCATTATACCAAAAGTTTATTATTAAAATACCTTCCAAGCTTCCAACAACTAAGTGAAATAGGTATAGGCACCCAATCAAAAGACTAACAAGTCTCAAGCATAGGAATACTAATTTTTATATTCCATATTGACTAGCAATTCACAGTAAGAGATTTGATATGAACAAGACACAATGCTATATATGTCGAGCGACAGAAATGAAATGACTTCATATGTACCTGCTCCCTGTGAAGCGTCTCTAAGCTTCTCATCTTTATTTTGAAGATCAAGATCATCAGTGCTCCTTTGACTTGCACTGTCACTCTCGTCATCTGTGAGACTACCCGACACCCTAACAACATGAATCAAAGAGAGTTCATTCAACAGCACAATCATAACGAGATAAACAGCTATCTTTTTTTACTGAACTGTAGAGCACAACTAGTATATCCATGAACATGCAAAATGAAAAATAAAATGAGCCAGGAAGCAAGTGGAACGCACACAGACACATGTACTTCAAAATACTGATACAATGAGAGCATTTTATGCAATTCTCAGTGTTCCTAAGCATCAAGAATTTCAAAATGGGGATCAGAAGGATTAAGATAACTAAGAAACTTGGAAGGCTTACCATTAATTCTAGCCACTTTCAACAATACAAATGCTGTATATCATGACAGTGTGATGAATGTTTAGCAACTTACAGTCAAGAAACCCGTACACTATTCGTATAACACAAGTACCCCAAATTGAAAGTATCCCGAACAATTCTCAATGACATCCAACAAATTCAGAAAGAACATGAAGTGCGCAAAACCTCAAGAGCTAAACAATAGGAGACAAGTATCAAGTTGAAATCATGAGCACTTCGAGCTCATATCAGTCAAACTTGATACATGATTGGTTTGGCAAACTTCATAACTTAGTTCTAGCCTGCTTATATGTCTGTCTAACTTAGCAACAAAAATTCAAATCCACAAATATTAAATTCAAATGAATATACGTGCGTATATAGATCTATACATATACGTATTTATTTTGTTGAAAAAATGAATTTGATATTAGTCAAGAATATTTGATTTCTAGTCGTAATGGATGGTTAATGTGAGTTAGAAGTTAGCTTGTGCAGCAATAAACAACATATGTAAAAGAACTAGCTTGTAAAGTAAAAAACAACATATGCAAAAGAACTACTAACAAGTGTCGCGAATATAACCTTCTTGACCTGCGCTTGGATCTCTTATCACGCCTCTTTCGCTTTTTCTCACGCCGCCTATCTCTTCTTTTTGAACGTTTATATTTGTCTCGTTTAGAAGATTTCTTCCTCTTTCTATGCCTATCATCACTTGAAGAACTAAGATCAGATGATGATGATGAT